TATCTATCTATCTATCTATCTATCTATCTATCTATCTATCTATCTATTTAGACCAGGTCTCACTATGTCTGTCCAGCTGACCTGGAAGTTGCTATGTAGAACAGGTTTGCCTGGAAATCATAAAGATCTCCTTCTCTCTTCTCTCTTTCTTCTGAATGCTGGAATTCAAGGCATGCACCAATCATATCCAGTTCAGCATTATCTTTTTATTCCTTGAAAATGTTTCATGCGGATGGCTCTGTGGATGGTGGTGCTTGAGGCCAAGACTGACGACCAAAGTTAGTTCCTGAAAACCCACATAGTTGTGTTGGTAACAAAGGAAACTTACTCTAAGTACTACCATAACAGTCTCAGACTCCATTTAATCATATGGAGAAACTAAGTTTTAGGTCCCAGGCCCGAGGGGATCTGGGGACATCCCAGGACAACAGCTTCTATTGTAAGGAAACAGTTGTCTGGGTCCAGCCATCTCAAGGACACTTCTCCATCTTGCTGGCAGGGCCAAATTAAGTTCATGTTTCCAGGCTCAGGAACCTACTCTTACTCTGGTTGACGGAAACTGTCTTGCTCAACCCCTTATGCCAAAATATGATCAGACAACACCACAGCCCACCCCACTCCCTCTTGCTTTATGGTTTCATCCTTTAAATACGCTGGACAACATCCCCTCAGGGGTGCAGTTCAGCTCCCGAGTCTGTTCTGCGTCCTTCACCCGTCAGTAACAGCCTGATTACAGTAAGTTTTTGTCCTCTACATTGACCTGGTGTTTGAGTTATGTTGGATTTAAGAGAACCTCACAACAGTTGAAGTAGAGAGTCTACTTCCACAGTGTTCTCTGATCTACACAAGCGTGATTCTCCCCAAAGTGGATAAATGAATTTTAGAAAAGAGAGGGAAAAAAAAAAAACCATACAAATAATAGCATTAAAATTAGATGCAGTGCACTTGAGCTTTTTCATGCCAGGGTGGGACTAAAGTGGTCCTGCTGAGAGACCAAAAGATTAAAAATTAGCAGCTATTATTAATTAAGGCCTGAACTAGGTGGGTGGAGAAGTCCAGTAATGCCCTGAGGGGAAGGACCACCTTACCACATTCTTTCCCCACCCACTGGAGACACAGTTGCTAGGAAACTGGCCCATCTCCCTAGGGAGGGACACCAGGTCATTATGGTCTGGGGACCTTCCTATAGCCAATTAATTCAAAATGTAGCATTTTGACCAATAGATGCTTGCCAGACAGGAATCGCCCCTGCTTTGGGCATGCTGGGATGGACCAGAATCTTTAAATCACCCAACTAACCTGGGCAAAGGGCGCTTGGCTCCTACCGCTTTGTCGGTGGGGGGTGTGGGCCCAAGCTGCAGCTTGTAATTTACAATATAAAGAACCTTATGTATTTACAGCGGAGTCTAGTTATTCCTGGTCTTTTGGGGTTCAGGAACTGGACAGAACACTGCCAGAAATTTTTTTCCCTGAGCACACTTGGTGAAGCTAGAACCTACCTCCCAGGCATCCAAGAATGTGGATTTACTGGTGAGAATATTGCCTTGATCATCTGTGGGTAAAAAGACATTTCCAGACTGTAAATGAAAAAAAAAAAAAAAAAAAAAAAAGCTGATTAGGATCTACATCTGAATATCTGGTTCTGTGGGGCGGGCAAGGTTTGAAGAAAATGGCACACCAAAACCAAAAACCAAAAACCAAACAAAAACCCACTTGCATAGCATATTTGTCACACACTTTAGACAGCAAATGTCAATAAAATATATGTATCAATCCACTGTGGCACGTAAACCCTGTATGTCTGACACTGAGGGACGCTGTTTCACCATCTGGCCTTAATATGTTTTAATAGCCATCGTTGTCACCACAGAAACACACCCAAGTCCATAGAAACTTGAGGCATGTTGGTTTCAAAGTCATTAGTCAAAGGTTATATCAAAAGGGTGTGGCTGGCAGGGGGAGATTCTACCCAGCTTCTAACCTGAAGTTTGGATAGCATGCCATCATTATCCAAACTGGTCATGTGGGCAGCAGAATGCGAATTCACATTCCTTCCATTCCTTTTTTCTTTTCTTTCTTTTTTTTAATACTGTGAATGGGTGTTTTGCCTTCAAAGTCAGTGTAACACATGCTTGTCTAGTGCCTGTGGAGGCCGGAAGAGGATGCCAGATCCTTTGGAACTGGGATTATAGGCAGCTGTGAACCTCCACGTGGGAACTAGGAGTCAAACCGAGTCCTCTAGAAGAGCAGCCAGTGTTCTTAACTGCAGAGCAGCTCTCCAGACCCCCTCATCCCTTTCAACTCTGAGGAGCAGCACTGAGCTGCAGTTTTCCGGATTATACTGACTGTCTGCTAATGCTATATTTGGGGTTTGCTCCTGGGTGCTCCTCACCCATGTAGGGGGGCCATAACTGACAGGAGAGTTGGTCCTTGAAATTTGTTACAAGAGGGGAACCTCGCCTGGAAATGACTAGGAAGGTGACAGGCCAGTTTGCAGTTTGTCTGAACAGCAGGATCAGTTTTTCTCAAATCAACTGTAAACAAAACAAAACAAAAAAACCAAAACCATAAACATGTGGTGCTCCCAGTACGGCCCTAGACTGCTCTACAGGCACTGGCTTTCTGCTGTGCACAAAACTCCTGATACAGCCCATCCTCCACCCCCAGCTCTGGCATAGATAATGTTTTCTGGCATCTGCTTAGCAGCTGGAGATGGGGCAAAAGGAGCCTCAAACCTGAAATCCCTGTGGCCAGTGAATTAGATACAGGTCCAGATAGTCCAGTTTCAGATCCGAGAGGGTTTTCTGAAAGCATTTTTTCACCAGACTTTTCTCAAAGAAGGTGGGCCAGAGCTGCAGGGTGTGACAAGGAGACTTTAGGATTAGGGAGACAAGGCCAGCCAGCGTCAATTTCCCTGCTTTGAGATTTGTAGCTGCTCTAATCCCAGGAAGAACCAAAGACAAAGCAGTAGGTGACCGGCATTCAGCAACTCCAGGTCACGCACGTCCTTGGTACTCTGCTTCATTTAGCACATTCGACAACTGCGATGTTCCTGTGTTATTCTCTTCCTAGGTTGTCAGCTCTCAGGGGGCAGGCAGTGTCTGGCCTTTAAAGTTCATCCCGTTGCCACTGGGAGCAGCTAACTCCTTAGTATTCTCTGATCTCCAAGGCCATCAGGCATGACCACTCCAGCAGTGCGTCTGTCTGTCACACCAGTTAGCTTCCTGAAACAAGGGTGTTTTAGCATGCTGTGCCCACTGCAAAGTCAAGCTTCTCAAATATGTCAAACTAACACCTGTGTTTTTAATAATATTTTATAATCCACACATTTTACTAAACGGAAACAAAGGGAGGTTCCTACAAGACAATAAAAAATGCTCATATCATGTCCAAAATAGGCATGTCTAAGAATGTCAGGAACACAGTCATTGAGGGAGCCCACAGTGTTGAGCAGTAGGGCTCACGGGCTGTACCCCTTACTGTACCCCTTACTGCCACTTGGAGGGTAGTTTCCACTGACAGAAAACAGGGAGGTCAAGAGCACCAGTGAAAGACCCCTGCCTCACCCTAAGTTAAACATAGCTAACGCCATTTTGTGGGACACCACTGTTTTGTAAAACTCTGAAGGATAGATGAAAAACTGGAAAATTACTAAGAAACCCAGCTGTGTCATCCACTTGGGATATCTGCGGTCAGGCTGCCCCAGTCGAACTAAAAACAGTTTGTGTTAATCACCCTCATAGATATCTGTGAGACTGTTCCAGTTAAGATAAGGGTCCTAAGAAAAACAACAGGTGACGGGCCACGTCAAGGAGTCATCATGACCATTTTGACCACCCAGTTCCTGGAATCTTGGTGTCTCTGCCAAACTTTGACACAAACCGTGGTCTCATGTAAACGTACCAATCAGCCCCCTGTAACCATGCTTCTCGCTTCTGTACCCACGCTTCTGCTCTAAAACCCTATAAAAACCCCAGCTTCCCACCTAGGGGGCGCACAAAGTCCCCCGAATGACTTTCCGCCCCTGGTACCCATGTATCAAAATAAAAGCCTCTTGCTGTTTGCATCCGAATGGCCTCGTTGTTCCTTGGGAGGGGGTCTCTCAGACGAAAGATACCCAGCCACCCAGCCGGGGATCTTTCACCAGGAGGTCCAACGGAGCCATTTCTAATATAACAACTGGTAAGGCTGGAGGTCCAGCATCAGCGATTTCTTACTAGGACTAACTTGGTGTGGATACACATGCAGAGATGCCGAGGGAGAGTCTGGGAGACTACTACAAATAGGAAAGACTGATAAAGCTCTTGAAGCTGTCCGTACTCAGATACTTCCACTTGTCTTGAATTCATGTCCACCAAGTGGGTCACCGTACCTTGCTGACAATGAAGAGGTCTTCCCGCTTCACAGCCTTCTCTTTGATCTTCTCTTGGATCCCTTCTCCCACTTCATTCTCATTCTGATACACATAGGCACAGTCGATGTGGCAATACCCAGCATCAATGGCTGCCTTCACAGCCTCCTTGACTTTGCCTGGGGGAGACTGAAAGGCAATAGAAAAGACCTTTAAAAGCCATTCTTCCAACTCCTCCTCTAACAGGTCCACAGGGACCAGATTCTCAAAACCACAGTCTTGCTAGGATCTATTTTAAGTGGACAGTGCGATGGGGGAAAACTTTTAAAAAGAGTGAGCCAGGTGGTGGCGGCACACACCTTTAATCCCAGCACTTGGTAGGTAGAGGCAGGTAGATCCCTGTGAGTTTGAGGCCAGCCTGGTCTAAAGAGTGAGTTCCAGGATAGCCAAGGCCACACAGAGAAGCCCTGTCTCAAAAAAGCAAAAAAAAAAAAAAAAAAAAAAAATGATTTTATTAGCATATAATATAACTGGTTTCTTTTATGGATTGTAATTCATTCATATGTGTTATTTTAAACATTAATTTTATGATTATCACCCATGTCCTCTTAGACAAAAAATTAGCTCTTC